GCGCGCGTGCTTGCAGGTTCCTTTGCCGTCTTAAAGCAGGTAATGTCTCAAGATTATCGCTATAACGTGTTCCCCCGCGATGTTGTCCGATGGCTTTTCGACAAACAGAAGGATGTAACGAAGAGGATCGAGTTAAATCGCCTATTTTCTTACTAACAAACGAGTTCGGTATAAACTATGAAAGATTCGATATGGAAGAGCCAGGAAGAAAAGTTCTTAAATCTTTTCCCTAACGTATTGTCGAACAATGTCTAAACTTATGTTTGCCAGCGATATTGAATTCGAATACATAAAAATTAGATTCGTGATTGCTATTATAAATTAATAATAGCAAGATTATATATTAATTAGTGCACTAGACGGTTTACCTTAACAAACAAGTGAAAATGTATTAGCGTGATAGAAAGAGAAAAAGAATTGAAATATTTGTTCAAATTCATATCAATAATTTCAACGTGTCATTTGATACTACACTTATGTATTGAAAATAACATATATGATATTCTGCTAATTGCGATGGAATCGATATTAATATAATCTCTGGTAAATTGAACATTATTTATAATAATTAATTTAATTCATTGAATAAAGAAGTATCTTAAAATGTTAATTTTTACTCGTTATAATAGTAACAACAGTAACAATCATACTTGTGATTCATTTTGGAAATAAATATAATATTTTTTGTAAAATGAGGTATGTCAATCTTTTGAAAAAAAAAATTATCATTTGCATAAATGCATGCAAAAATTATGCATAAATAAATTCGTAAGTTTCTAATGAGTACAATAAATAATTAAAAAATGTATGCGAACAGTTTTTCAGTGCTTTATTCGATTAGCAAGTAACGTGTTTAAAAGTGTGTTATGTATGAATTTAACGTCCATGCAAATAGCGGATCTCATTTCAACGTACATTTTCATGTAAATTTTCTTCAAAGTTTCACCGTTACATTCGCACTTTTTGAAGCTCGGAAAATTCTGGTTTTCGGGCTATGTAATACATAATACATGAAACGGTAGTCACTTGTTTCAAAAGGTTTTGCTTAAAATCGTATTGTAACTAGTTTGAAAAGTTGTCGCATAAAGGATTATTCAAAAGGTAGTAGGACACGCGGAAAGAGGGAAACGAATATCAGTATAACAAAACTCATTGAAATCGCCGCGTCTACGCGTTTCGCTGTTAATTTTTTACAAGCCTTTTTATCCCCTAATAATCTTTTCTATAGCCATTGTTGCGACGGCTGAAAATGAACTATTATCCCTCTGGTCGCGCTACTCTCGTCACAGCCGTACATTCAAATGATTTAGTCGCAAGTCGTGACTACATTCTTGGTCTTTATTGTTCTTTCAAAAGCTACACAATACCTGTATTCATTATTCGTGCAATACGATGATTTGAAATATATCATACTTTAATTAAGATCCAAAAAACGTTTCGTCTCATTCTTCCTTAATGCATGCTTTGTACTATTTCGCTGTGTACTAGCATAAAGAATAGAATTATTTTAATTTATAAAACAGCTCGTGAGCGGTACGATTCATATTGAGAAATTAAGGTCGAATATCGACAAAAATCTAGGAATTTTACGATCCGAGCATACAGATATGCCATGGAGATGGACTTATATTGACCATGTGCGATCAAAGTACGATATTTTTAATCGATATTCATAGCGTTAACTGAAAGAACATTCACGTTTCGTGTTACGATGAATACTCATCGTTTCTGAGAGCCAGAGCACGAGCAAAACGGATTGAAGTTGAGCATCGCATTTCAACTTTGAAATTCCTACCAGTGCAGTGGTAAAGTATTACACAGTGACCGCTAACTTTTACTCAACGGATGGGGAAATACGTTATACCTGCGTATTTGTATCCTATCTTTTCAAGAAAATTTCTGCCATTTCACAAAAGTTGTGAAATTGCGTCCCAGTTCGTTCTAAAGTAACTGAAATAAACAGTTCCATCGTTTAGAAGCAATTCATATGTGAATATCATTTCCAAACTCCAAATCATGCCTATGTTTTATACGTATACGTATAATGGTTTCTAAAGGAAAAATTATTATGATTAAGCACGTTCTTTCTTGATTTTCCATTTAGAATATCGTCAAGCTGAATCGACAATATCATTGTCAATATTTATTGACTACGCGCGAATTCCTTAAAGGTTCAATGGCAAAAAAAAAAAAAGAAAAGAAAAGAAAATGATGAAAATTATGTGCTACTATCAAGGTTTCAATAATCTTAAATTGTTTTCTCGTTATGAATTTTAGAAAGCGGAACGTTAAGTTTACGCGGCGCGTACTTCGCCTTCCTTTCGCGTTTGACACAAATGTTTATACGTGTCTCGCAGAGCAAAAGGACAAACAAAGCGATAGTTTCTCGAGGGTTACGAAAGGGTGCAGTGTGGCAAGGGAAATAACGCGCTCGAACGAATAAGCCACGATGGAAACTCGTGAACGGAAACTTTAATATTACTGCCACGATTTGAAGAAAGCAAGGGAAAAATTTATTGCCGCGTTTTCAAGACGCCAGTGAATTACAACTCTCCGTCAAAGAATAATGCTGTTAAAATTGTTTTCGCTGGATTGGCGTTAAGACGAATGAATTCGAATAGTGTTTTGTAGTCTAGATATCTCTTAAGTCCGACGGATTACTAGAACGTTGTAATCGTTTTATGTCTGTAATTATAAAGTGACAGCGCAGGAAATTATTGTCGATGAAATTACGATATATTAATAATCACGCTCTCTGATTCATACGATTGATTTTTCGTATGTTAAAGCATTGCATATTTTTTACCAATTTAAACATAACAAGCTAGGGAAAAGAATATCACAATTGAACTTGGCTTCGAACGAATTCAATAAATATCTTAGCTTAATTGAAAGATTGTATTTTATTAAACATTAAATATTATAGTAGTACTTCTGAGTAAATCGAAAAATTTTCAGCTAAAAATAATACGTGATTAAATTTTTAAGCGAATGTAAAGAAATATAATTGTACAGCATCCTTTTCATCAGAGTTAATTTATACAATATATAAATTTTTAATTATTGTCTTTGAGAATGAAACAGATATATGTACACACGTAATCCCTGATGTCGAAATTACAAAAATTTCTTTGTACTTTATTTTTTATTAAAAAAATTATTAATATACCTTTTTGGAAATATTAAATGTTATCACGTATTTTGCAAATTTTCATAATTTTATTCAAATGATTATAAGAAAATAAATTTTTCTAGAAACGAAAGATCGCAAATGAGAATTTTCAAAGAAATAATGAGCATTATGTCGACGCGCGTGTATATACGCACATAATAATACGTACTGTTCGATAGTACAAAATGTGGTTCCTATAAATTTTCTGCAAGCTGAATGCAACGCGAGGTATACCCTCAATACATTAATTGTCAACTTTTGAAACGATTCCAATAGGGCGGAGACTGAGACAGCAGTATACGAACGATCCATTCAGAGTTAAGGGAGCCGCCGTCTATTTATGTGTCTAGCTTCCTCCCGAAAATCTTCATACGGTTGTTGGATAGGAAAGCGCAAACAAAGCGATAGCTTTCCATAGTATGCGGAGATACCGGAAAGGAATACTTGACGGGGGAAAATCTTGAGATACATCCATCCCCGAACGAAGTAGTCGCAAAGAGGAAAAAAGTCTTGCTGGCACAGCGGAAGTCGTGATCTACGCAGGAACGGAGAAACCTCCTTTTCGAGCAGGAGGCCGGAAAGAAAAGGAGTCTCCAGAAAGCTCCTCGTAGAAATTGTCTCCCGAGAATTTACAGTTGCTGCAGCAATTCTTTGGCTCCATTTTTTGCATATGTTCTGCCTGTCACCGACGCCAGTCCAGAAACTTATTTTCGAGCCTCAGCTACCCTACGTTTTCTCGCGCTCCTCGTAAATCATTGATCTTGTCAGTGTTACGTTCAAGGGAGATCGGCTAGCCGACTTTGCTTGTTCAAATACGTTTTTGAAAGAACGCGTGGGTTGCAAGTGTCCCGTAAATCTGATCGATTATCGAAGGGATAACGAGCGCACACGCGTGTCACTGACTTCGTAGCGATGGAGTGGCAAGAAATAATTTTTTTAGTCGCAAGTCACTGACTCTCTTTTATTATTTTAAACCATAAAGCAGGGAAGACGTACGATTTAGCTTTATACTTTATCTTACGGATTTAATTCGATTCTTTGAGCTACAAATGGGAGTTTCGAATGGAAATTCAGCAAAAAGTGAAACTAAAAGATACACGCAAGCATTTATTCTTTGACGACCCAGAGAATTATAGTCGTAGGGTGCGTCAGATTCCATACATCATGATGAAAATAATCTTTGCCAAATATAGCTAATATTTTTTATGTAGTTGGCAGTTTTCGCCAACTTTACGATTTTCCATCCCCCATTTTCCGTTTAGTTTGGAGAAATGTCTGAAAGTGATCTCCGCCGTGCAGAAGATATTGTATTAGGAAGGGAAGCAGTTGACGATATATAAAACATCCATATAGAGTAGGTCAAAAACCGATTTGTTTAAAACTCTATAAAACGTATTGAAAATTTTTCAATATCTATGTAAATATCAGCTAAAACGACAAATTTCCGGAGAATCATTTTTTTTTTCATTCTATAAAGCGAGAGGGATTTAAATCAATTTGCGTGTTATGGTATTATATCTTTTAGAAACAGATTTTTTTATATTTTCTTGATAAGCTTAACCTACTACTTTGTAGTAAATTTTTATTCGTATTAAATATCGATGTTATTCATATACGTGTTTAAGCACTAATTTTTTATTAATCGAAGGATTATTATTAAAATCTTGAATTTGTTATAATATATATACATACAGGTAGCAACACATATGTGTGAAAAGTAATACTCTCTATTATTAAACGCCTGAGAATTTAAAATTAATTTATGATACAAAATAAATAGACGTGAAACAAAGTGTAATAGTAATGAGTGACTACAAAAATTGCTTACCTTAGAATTAACAATCAGGCACATTTCTTTCAGCTTCTTCATGATACCACGACGAGTTCGCTCTTGATTAATGTGCTCTAAGATCCAATCGACGACATCTAAATGAATAAAACATGAAGATATACATAATTTAGGAATAGAACTATATGCGCTACTGCGCGTTCAAAAGTTTGGGTTCACTCTCAACCTTAAGGATTCATAAAAGAAAATAAAGTAAAAGGTGGTACAATTCGCTATTTCTTATCTTTATATATTTCATTCTTTTTTGCTTAATTAGCAGCTATGTATACCTCCAATTTTAAAACTTTCCAATCCGGACTTATCTTCATATACTGTAAAAGCTCATCGATTTCGTTCAAGATTCAAGCTCATAGGATTCCCTAATTAGTATATAAGATTAAATATGAGGATAAGTATCGTCAAAGCAATTCGAATAAATATAATCTAGTAATTATGATATTTAATTATCGTTACGTGTACTAATTTTAAATATATAGAGGTTCCAACATCCATTTCCTAACTTTTCATTACAAAGTCCAAGTTCACCCTCCATCTTTTTGACTAAGCAAGCGACCCAAAACTTTGTATGGTTTTCTAACATCTTTCTTCTTAAAGAATATGTACAACGATAAAATATATGTTACATGACTTGATAAGAATCAATTTCCGGGTGCAATTAATTAAATTTGATTTTCCGGACCACGTTTTAATAGTGCATAGGGATTTCAATAAACGTTCCAGAACTATGAATATCGGTGCTATTTATATCCAATCAATATTATCCTGAATTGATTTGTAGGAAGGGAAGGATAACTGGATCATCGCGGGGTACGTGATTAGGTTAGCTGATAAATGAAGACGTTGTTATCAGTAATTCAATATTACCGACAATTCTCTCTAGCATCTACCAATTTCGGTATCAAGGATCACTCGTGTTAAAATAATGTCATCCTGACTGAAACAACACAGGTAATCTTTTAAGTAATTTCAATATTAAATGAAGGGATATATAGAACATATATCGTTATTATATCGCCTTATCTATGGTAACAAGTTAAAACATCCTACAAATCTGTATTGTAATATATTATTTAATTAATAAGTTTTGTCAAGATAGTGATCCATACTTTAAATACACTGTAAATGCCAGAACATTTGCGGTCTAATAACGTAACCCGTATTTCTAAATCATACACTCTTACTTACTTGGTCGGTTTTTCCCTATTAATTATTCGCTGACTGACTTCTTTAAAGACAGTGAATTTAGCCAGTGCAAGATATGAAAGAATGTACGGATACATATATTCATTAGAATTCCCTTCATTAAGTATTCCATTTAGAATGTCCAATAAACATTCTTTGAAGCACATACATTATGTATTAATGCTTCCTGAAAGCAGAGAGATCTTTCCCCTGATAGAATATTTTATTCAATCGCTAGCAAACTAGAACGGGATATAGCTAATCGTCTGCCCTGGCAAATTCAAAAATATCCGGCAAAGTTGTGCGTTAAAGAAGACTCGTAAATCATAGGATTTAGCGAAAGGTAGGACGAGCAACGTACCTTGGGGATACTTGTTAGTCTGATGTTCCATAAAGAGAGTGCGTAACTCGTCCTCCTGGGTTTCGGTCCAGAGGCTGCGCGGAACTTTCTTGTTATCCGTTTCCGCGTTGTAACCCTCGACGACCTCGGTCGCGTCACGAGTGGTCTTCCAGAAGAGCAGTTCCATATACGCTTTCCGGTTCTTTTGCGCGACTTCGATGAAACGTCGGATTATGAAGACTGCGAACTTTTGGAGTTCCTGCAAAGAGGACTCAGCTTTCGTGACTCGAGACAAGCATACTTCCGGTGACTATTAGATACCATGGCAGACATGTAAATTCGACGATAAAATTCTTTAAGTTAAGAGAAAAATTGCATTCGTGCTACGAATTCAATAGAAAATTATAGGAACTTTGTTGAATAGTTTGGAAATTCCAATCACGATTTGGATTGTATTGTTATCTTAATATAAAAAGTTTAGTAAGGGTGGGACCAAGTGTTTTTGTTTATACTAAATTCTATGTGTTTTTATACGTATATGCATTTAATGCTTGAACGTTTCATTGAGCGAATTTTTATTAAAAATCTGACCACATAAGTTTCATTCGGCTAGCTATTGTTTATGAATTTTATAAAACATTCTTTTACTTTTCATATAGAACCGTATTTGATAGTCACCAGTTTATTTGATTGTTCATTGTTATAAGTAATTATTGGTATAATGAAAGAAGGAATGTAAGTTGACATATTGATGCAGTTACAATGGTATAATAATTAAAAATGGAAGATAGTATATTTTGGGAGTAGGAAGAGTAATGACAGTTAAAAAAAATTTTTGTTGGGAAATAAAATATTTCCTGTTTCTTTTTTCCAAATATGCCCACAATCTTAAACTTAAATATTTTTGTTGCAGTGATAATATTTAATTTTTCATATATACATAATCTTGTACCATTTAAATATATATTTTGTACGAGTATTTCATCTATAATATGAGACGCTCAAGCCATTAATTCTACAATTTGTTATTCAGTGAAATAGTATACGAGGAAACTTAAAGAAAAGGTTAGTGACAAGTTACATTGTGTTTTCAAAGAATGAAACTTAGAGTTAAGAAAAATAAATACGAATATAAATAATTACCTTGTGGCCGCCATACTTAGACTCAAGAATTCTCTGGAAAACACGGAAAATTGACGCTTGGAATATGAGCCCTGGCATTTTGCAATCCCAGGCTATTCGATGAAGCATCTTGGTAATGTAATGATTCACTTCGTTTGTATTTTTGTCAAATTGCTGCAGCAGAACCAACATTGCTCTCACGATTTTTACATTGGCAAATCTTAAACAAAATATAAAAATCGAAACTAAAATCTTTAGTATCTGCTACAAAATCAAATTTAAGGCATTGGGAGGGAAAGTGGATTAATTGTAAGTCGTATCCTTTTCTGAATATCAATTTATGGCATTAATTTATCCCAATGAACTGTATTACACATAAAAATTTGGAGGCATTCGTATTTTCCAAGTCAAACGATAATAATATAACGAAATCAGTTATTAGATTGAATATACTGTACATTTTCGTATATATTTTGGACGATAAAGCGAATAATATGTAAAATTAAATAACATGTAATATACAATAATATAAAACTAATATCAGAAAAGAACTGATGAATTGCTCAATTTATCGGATATTTGGGTTTGTCCATTTTTCATAGTCAATGTCTCATTTATTAATTGTCTTACCTGTGGATGAAGTCAGAAAATTTGAAATCAGTTTCTACAACTGAAGAATGTGTTTGCGATGCGTTCTCTTCATCTTCCTCTGTAATAATATATTTGATACAATAGTTCGTATTTACAAATACTACAAGCAATTTCGTTATAGAAAGGTGGTAAGCAATATCTTCTTTGTTATCTGTCTAAAAAGATATATTACCTGACTCGTCATCAAGGCTATCAACATTTCCCTCCTCGTGTGTTTTGCTTTGTGTAACAGGATTTTCTTCGACCACTGAAAATCAGAAAATGAAATAAATTTATTCTCTACATCGCTCTACAGACAATATTGAAGGTAGGAAAATATAATAAGCCAATTTTTCTACATTTTCCATTTTGATTATTACAGAGAACTATTTTAATGTGACATAATTAAAAAGATCAAGGATATAAACCTTTTAAATACATGTATGCACGTATATGATAAATCTAGGAGATTTTCTAGAAAATAGTAAGAATACCCGATGGCAATTAATATTTTTGAAATTTTCAAGATGGCAACAAAAATACATATACAACTATAAATATATATACAAATTAGGTAAGAGGTAGTTTCGTAATATTTAAATCGTTTTCATGTAAAAAATGTGATTGTTAACACCGATTATTTTACTAATAATCGCGTTTCATAACATAGAAATTGGCATTTCCAAAATATTTTATTACATTTAGAAAAGAAGTTCGAGGAAATTTCAAAATGAAACCAGAGAACGAGAAGTTACTGGAACGTTCCAAAGTAACTGCAGAAGTACATTCTGTCATTCCTAGCTTGTCGTAAAAACATGCCAACGACACGTGCAAAATTTCACTAGTTCTTCGTTGAGCGAACACGAAAATTCCCGCAAACAATTGCATGCTTTCCTGGAATACAGACCGACCAGGACACGACCGGGACGCTGGCACTCTATTCAATTCGACTGTAGAAGAATCAATGGATGTCGGTGGCTAGTGCTTTTTGGAAGGCCATCCGAGGTCCGTACAAATCGTACGTCGTGACTCGGTCTCCGGAAGTGGGGATCCCTGGATCGTTCGCTAAAATCTATCGCTCAAAAAATCGAGCCACGCGAAAGGAATAAAAAGATAGGAGCGGTCACGGTTGGATTAATTTACGCGAAAAATTCTGAAAACGGCGTCTAGAGCGCAGGAAAACGAAACAGCCAGAGTATTCACACGCGTAAGTCGGAACGTGGAATCCGATCGAATCGGATCCCGTAGGTTTTGGGTTACCTTGTCTTTTTTTTCCTCTACGTTGCGGACAACCCGACCAGCGAATTAAGCGGCCGTGGAAAGACGATTACATTTTCGACGAGTCTGTCGAGGTGAGGGCGAGGCAAACCGAGCCAGTCGAGGCTCCGGTGGCCAGGGAAAAATTGCACTCGGCGAAACCGACGATTGGATCGGCACAAAGCTTCGTTACGGGGCAAATTTTCTAAGGCTTCGCGACCGTATCCTTTTTCCTCGCTTTCTGAAAGTCACGTTAGGACAGCCGACATTTCGCTCGGCTCTTCCAATGTCACTGTTAACCCCTCGAATTGCGAATAAGGCTTGACTACCACTAATTTTTAAATTCTTTTTCTATTTTTGTGCTTCATTTCTTTCAGTTGATTGAAGTATTGCCGCTTCGAAGGTGGGTATATATTTTTCTTCATAAAAGAGGATCAATAGGTACATATTACAGGCACATAGATTTGCAAGATGCTATAAATAAACTGCAGATATTTATGCAAATGCGTATTTTTACGGACATGACTAAAGAGCAGGGCGCAGGCAAGATTTATTTCGTCTACTGAATGTTACACTGAACATTTCACTATACTACAGTACTAAAATATTATAAATATTATACTATATCTATCTATATTTTTGCGTGTTGCTTTAAATTTCTCATAAATGTAAAAAAAAAAGGTTATAAATAACTTTTTGTATATCCATGTGAATATTTGTTTTTATAGAAGATTATCAGCAAAGTGGTATAAAAATATTTTTTTTATTTTTAGAACTTTGTTTATTTTTAAATACGCCGAGAGGAAGTTTTCAACTATTGAATAGTTTCAACAATTTTTTCGAGACCATAGGCAAGATATATATATATTTTTTTTTGCATACGTTTTTCGTATTTATTTTGTAAATACATTATCACATTATCTGAACGAAATCTAAAAATTTGCCAAGAGTGAGATACTAAGCAAACATTGTACACGATACGAATATATTAGACCTAAATGGTCTTTAAAAGTAACCGTGAGAAGTATTTTAAATCATCGTGTAAAGTTTTAAACGTGTTGTGTTTCTCTAGCCAAAGAAAACTTTTCCCGCCGGCCAAAGAATTCAGTTTGCCCAAGTGACGTCGACGACTATGCTATTTTAACCAGAAGTTTTAATTGTTCCCTTCCGCGGTCTTCTGAACTCGGTACACCGGTTGCGGATAAAACAAAAAGGTGAAAGAAGCGGCGACGTTTTTGTCTTAAATTAAAAAATGTTTCCTCGGTTTGAAGAACTAGAAAAGTCTCGTTTACGGTGGCAGTGTCATATAATCGTAAAAATGGTTGGTTAATGTCCAAATATTTTCGTGATTTATTGTATAAATATTGCATCGATCTTCTTATGCAGATTTATAAATAGTAAAACTATATAATACGAGTTTTAAGTAAAAATGAAATTTATACACGTACAATGAGTTCTAATCACATTAGATGTATTTAACTTGAAATTTTGTCAATATACCAGTTATTATTTAATCCGATTTAAATCAGATACGTGTAATGGTTTTGTAAAATGTTAATGCTCGCAAATATGTATATTTGATGGATATTAAAATACTTCAAAATAGTAATTAAATTGGAAACATATATTTGGATACATGTTTAAATTGTAATATAATATAATTTAATATAACAATTCGCGCAAATTAATATATATGAAATATGCAACCTACGTATCCTTAATGTGCATTATATTAAAATAACAATAATATTTTGCGTGAGAATTAAACACCGATTTGAGGGATCAATAACGAAGTATCATCCGATGAAAAATTCATATACTCCGATGGCGCGATAATGACATCGTCATTCAAATTTTTACATCTTATAAACGCACGTCAGAAGATGTTAATATTAATCTGGATTTATTCGTGAAACAAAAGGATCAACGTGAATCTCTTCTATGGATAAATCCACAGCTGTATCTTGGCTCGTATGTCATTTCGTCATCGGTTCATCGATTTAAATCATAAATTCGATCATAGAAGGAAACAAATTACAGCAGGAAAATTATGAATTTCTGAAAAATTGATCACGTTTCAGCGCTGATGCTTTATTCATTCCCTACAATCGAATAAAGCATTAATCTCGTTTGTTTGGCCACTTGCGCGTGATGAATTTAATAATGTCCCGTCTCTTTCGTATTCTGCTTCGCAGAGATAGTCGGTTCGCAAATTAACGATGTGAGCCGACACGTTGAAAAATATCTTCGGATCGAAGAAATACGATTCAATTGATACGTTAATAAAATTATTTTATTACTAAATTAACCTTCTATTACCAATTATATGTAGAGATATCTTGAACAATGAAACATTCTAGATAGGAAATTTTAATTATGGAGGACGGCATAGATGATTCAATAGATTTTAGGTTTTTTTTTTATATTGTTAAAAATATGTAGCGATCATCGTATACAATGTCCATTTTTTGGCGACATTCAAAATATTGATTACACAGGGAAAACGAGTACGAGTAACGATGATATAATCGTAATGGCATCAGAAGCGAGATCGGAGCAAGATCCATTTTTGGAATCAGGGTATGTTTGATGCAAATAATCTGCGGAAGGAAAAGCATCGTAGGGTGCAACAGGACAGTTACCACAGATAGATTAATTTCTGATAAATTGCATAACCGAATTTAAATGCTACAGTCGACAATACGCGATATTGTAAGTACTTCGTGTAAGCAGCATACAAGAACGCGAGAAGCGAGAATGAGAGATGTAGAACATGTGAGTGTACAGAATACGATAAATTCACTAAATGTAAATGAAAGGTGTACAAGTGACGGTGATAGTAGAAATCGTATTAATAACAACGATAACAACGTATTAATAGAAACAGAATCGATTATTTGGTATTTCGATATCACGTTAACGGATTTATAGGGAAAAGTTTGTCGGCCAAGAATTAATATACCCATGTCGGAGACGAATATAAAGAATTGGTAATATGTTTGTTGAAATTAAAGGAAATCGGTAAAAAAATTTGTAATATGTGCAGTATAAATTCAGTTTCTCATAGGTATTAATCCTACATTTTATAAGAACGCGCAGCAGTTTAAAACCGAACAAAACATCGTCAATCTGTTTCTACGTTTCATCGAACAAAAAACCAATTCAATATCAATAATTTTTCAATAAAACGTTCATGAGCTTATATGTGAATTAATTCGATATTTTTTCCTACTTTTTTTATTTCTTGAACGTAGCGAAATCGTTTTGTGGAAAAAAACTTGCCACATTCTGTATATTATATCATGTATTACGATATACTATAGCGAAATAAGTGACAGTATTTCAATAATGTGCGACAAGGAATATCAAATTCACATGCCAACTAACGTGTTAGGCATAATTTCGATAAGAGCCACCATTGTGTGTAGATGTCATCCAGCGAAGTCGACTCGGAGAGTCGAAGCGTTGAAACATTTATCGTCTCGATTCATAGTTAGCTGCCGAACGTATTCATCAGCCACGAAATCGGATTAAAGTTTTATTGTAGCGGAGACGTTATGCCAGTTATTCGTTTCTGATTGCGAATTGCTTCGTACTTTAATCGTATCTATTCATATACGATTTCCATTCCTCTTGTATTGTTCTAAAAACAAGTTATTTTATTTTTAAAAATATGTAAAATTATCTACGCGCAAATTTTTATAATTCTTACGGGTATTTAGAATTATGTAAAAAATATTATTTATTTAAAATATTGAATTCACTTTGTCACCCTCGTAATCAACTTGTTGATTAAATTAAATTTCAGGAAATGTATTATACATGCATCTTAAAATACAGATGTTGTTGTATCTGTGTGACGTAGCCGTTAATTAAAATTTATTGGTATACATTCAGCGGATTCGTCTCGGATTCTGTTACGTTAAATCTAATCCTGATCTAATCCTAAAGTATAACCTTGTTAGATACAAGGGAGTTGTAATGTAATTCATAGATATACTAGAATTGTAAGGGTTTCGAACATTACCTAGGGATTGCATATCTATACAAGAGTTCCGAAACTGAACACGTTCGACAATGTTCTATCAAAGCTCTTTGAGATATTAGGAACAATATATATATATATACATATAGCGATATATATGTGTATGTCTATGATACATATATATCGTAGTTTGATCCATTTCTCGCTTCGAGTACCCATTATATTAATTCATGTATATTTTACATAGATTCCCAAAGATATTCTTTTTATTTCCTTTTTCCATTAATGTGTTTCATGAAAATAATTTTCATTTTATAAAATAAAGGACAAAAACTATACTTAGCTGTAACTAATGAACTCTAAAAGTTTTTCAGCTAAATATTATACATATTTTACACTTTCTCTCTCTCTTTTTGCGATAAACCAGGATGAAAGATTATAAGAAATGGGTACACTGTTTTTTATTTGTTTACATTTTTTGCGTTAGTTTTTTCTATTATTGGCTAGTATACTTGTTATGTACCTCTTAGATAGTAGGCTGCTTGAAAAGGTGTCTGTACACGAAAATGATTGATAAGCGACTATCTTTGGCAATATTTATGTTTTTCACTCTAGTTATTCGTCTAACTTCATTTTATCATTTTCGAAATGTTCGCTTTATCAGATACTATCATTTCCTTACAAATTCCTCTATTTTATGATCGAATTAATCGATAACGATAAAATAAAATTTTAAAAATTATAATAAAATCACGCTATAATATATAATATATCACATCCTATGATATATATGATTTACGATAAATAGATATTATAATATATAATATGTTCGTATAAACTTTATATTATAGGGTAAGGAAGCGCGTAGTAGAACGTAGTAGCATCACGTTACCAAAGCCCGGCACATCTGATAGATCAACCACTTATGTATGTACGTACATGTATGTAGTAGATTCTCTCGGATCAACGATTACCAACGGTGCATGGCCAAAGTCTCCTGATAACTCAGGTTATGTCTCGTTACAGGCTTATCGATCGACTCTACAATTCTATGGCGACGTATAATGGTGCACCTGCGTGTACACAGGTGTGTGTATGTGTGGGTATGCGTATACAGGTGTTTCAACTATACAAAGGCAATTTACAAGCGATTATAATGTTGCTCTTAACACGTCCATGACAACAGAATTTCGACATATCATTGCTTTATGGACAAACTCACAGTTTCCTTTCATTTCACGAAATCATATGTATTTAATAATAACGATTCTAACTATATTATAACTATGATGTGTGAAACGCATGTTTTTCTTTTTTTTTTTTTTTATTAAACAGTAACATTTTTAGCGTATTCTCTCTATTACAAGAATGAGAACGGTTTAATGGATATAAGTTGCACAATATTTTATTTTCTCGCTACAAAGGAACTCTTTGCAATGAATTTCTCAGAAATTTCCAGCCAGACTGTTGCAAAGTGTTTCTTTAGCAGACTACAAATTGAAGCGATTTTACAGAAAAATACCGTTATACGAATATCGATTGGATTATATGTGTAAACACAAATTTTATTCGCGTTAATTTCACCAAATTAATCGTTACAATTCTCACAATCTATGTAAGTAATATGCAGTAAAAAGAACTTTGTCATGAGGACGAGAACAAAATGAATTATAAGACAGAAGGAAAAATAAATATTCTAAATTGAACTAAACGGTAAGATCAATAAAATATATATATACATATATATATATTAACAAAGATTTCTTATTAATTTTAGGAACACGGAAAATACACCTCGATATAATAACTGAGAGGAGAATATATCTATAGAACCTACGGTAATTCACCAAAGTACTCACACCATACATCTTTTGGAACAAACATAAGAACCAATTCAATTATTAAACTTGAATCTGTACCTGTGCATTGTGTTCAGAACTGATCCAATTAGTCAGATTTATTTGGTTATCTGTAAGTAGTAAATAACGCGAACCTATTCTATAATCAATTCCAAATATTCTGATAATTTCCGTAGTGAAATACCGTAATGCACGACTATTTTGAAACTACATACTACGCGTTTTCTCTGCGCTGCAGTATATTTAAAATGATAGTATGAAACATCGTAATGGTACGACAGTTAAAATTGAACGTTTCAATGAATAATAAAAGTGATGTTACTGGGAATGTAAATGCTTAAAACGTAACAGTCACACAACTTCGTAATAAATGTTCCATAATGCATACAGCAGTCGAGAAAGTAAACTAATTTATCGAACGTGCGACAGTGGTTACATAATGTAGTACAATCTATAATTTTCCGAAGATTTATTGTTCAAATTAAATGGACTGAGCCCGCCGGTGATTAATGGTAACGATTACAACAGCAATTATTCAATTTTTAATTTATTTTAATATGTTGGACAGGAGTGTAATTGTTATTGATGTATACGTGGAAATGAATGGAATACGTTGCGAAGTTTTATTCGAAATACATGTATAGTACATTTTAGAGGAGAACAATATGATAATAACAATGCGATTTGCATGATATACACACAGATGTATACTGATTTAAATATAAATTTAATTGTAAATTTGGCAGCTCTATTGATACAAATATTTAGAAAAAAATCTATACAAATATTTATATTATATTTAAATAATATCGTATATAAAAATTACTAAATCATTAAATGGAGTAAACACCTGTATTATTACCATTTATTATTCAATTTTAACTATTATCTCAATAGCTACGGTAGTATCAAAATAACAGGAAATGTTAGATAGCCCACTCTTAAGTTTAATTTCAAATGAACATTTAAACATTTTAAGTACATTTTATTTTATAAACACAAATAAAAGTTCAATACATGTTTTTCGAATTTTAGATCAATCTTTAATTACTGTGTTACGTTATCTTTATAGAATATGTACCTTTCGATCCTCACATTGTTCTTTTTTTATAGTACATTCTTGCAATGCATATATTAGGAATTTTTAAAACGATCATGTTAATATTAATATATAAATTGTTTAGTTACCTTATATTGCAAGACTAGCAATATATGCAGATAGTTCGAAACTTTAACATGACAGTGTATAGTCGTTTATTATGTTTCTAAGAACCATGGTGCACAATCCTCTGAATTAATTTGCGATGTTTCTGCTACTATTCTTGTCGTAATTACCTCAATAACAATGTATAGTAGTTTAGTAGTAGAAGTTTTGCCGCTCACGTTTGAGCTGAGTGATATTAGCCTTATTATCTTACTGTAGGCAAATTGATATTAGTGTGTACTACTGCCGACAGTTGAGACAACTCTAGAATAAGATAGTAAAACAACCGATTTATTAATCTACGCAAGTTGTTTTACTTTAATCAATTTACTTTATTTAGTTAATTTAAATGCGAATATCGCTGAAAAATTATAATGGTTTACAGAATTTTTCTGAAAAACACATAGATGTACAATATGTGTTCCATAGCTTGTACACTTGATTATAAAATAAGAAACTGTACATACAATTTTGTTTTTACACGGTAGATAGGTTTCTGAAAAAATTGTGGAAAAACAGATCGTATAAAGAATATAGGGTGTGCATGAAAAAATAGACAGTTCCATATGTTGTTGCATAAACTTATAAAGATAATTGTATCTACCTACATATTGAAAATTCAAACAACGAAACAAATAATGAAAGTTTTTTTGATTCGTTTTATTAAACGCTTCTGACTTTAAACACGAAATGAACGATCAAAACTAACGTATGTATTGGAGACAAAATTGAGCAGAATTTCCTCGTAATTCGATACATTGGACTGAATTTTGTTCAAAAATTTTATTCAATATTTTGGAATAATTTTTTCACGCAGAAACATCCTTTTGTCGATCGTACTACGATAGCTGGGGGATCCGGTACCATTTAAATTGCGACATTCAATACTGAAATTTCACTAAGAACAATTGCCCAATTTGACGATTGCATTATTAGACCCATAGGAACACATAGAATGGAAGAGCGCCCGCATCGCAAGTTCGACAATCGTTTATCATCTATCCTATATCACCTGTCGTCAACCTTGTATAGACGTATGCATCATACGATCCGTTTGTCCAACGTTCGTGTAATTGCAGCTTAACACGTTTACCATTGAGTGGATCTGATATGCTACCGTTTATGACAGTGCAAATGAATTACGAGTTAGGATTGTAGTTAATTAAACATATTATCCACGATCTTTTTAAGGAATCGGTAAATTATGAATTTAAGTTAGCTACTACAAAATACAGCATAATAATAAATATTATTACTTACAGTACACGTTATTATGTATATTTAATACAGCATTAAACATTAGCAACATTAACGTCGTTTATCAACTCGGAAGAATCTGTTTAATCTAAATTATAATTTAGAAGTTAAATACTCGAAAATGAAGATGAAGAGTTTATCAACTAATAACAATAATTCCATATAGTTTGACAATTACAACTGTAAGTTTTAATTTTTAGATTCTAAAAATTACCGATGTAACATTCTATTATGCGTAGGTAGCTATGATTACGAAGAATAAAATTATTGCAGTTCGATTTATCTGTAAGAATAAATCTTATCAAAAATAAGCAAATCTTCAATTCTTCTATCTTTTGAATGGTAGTGCATGTTAATAAAAAAACAAACTTTACATGTACAAAATCCGTCTCTATGTAGATTTGTATGTACGAAACCGACATCCGTAGATATTCATATGTACTGTGATACCTATATAAAATTTATACTATATTACAATCCTAAACCACCATACATATGTACAGATGTACATAACATATCCCCTTTACAAGGTATTCTCATAAATTTTATGATTTCTAATTTATATACATGTACAAACATCATCAAAATGAATTGATACACATATCATAAAAGTACAGGATGACTCAAATCTGAGATACAAGCACTGAACACATCAGACTGATAAAACTATATATCATCATCTACTTGCAGCTAAGAAAATTTTCAATTTCTTAATCTTTTCCTTCGATCTCACGGATTTGATCGTTCCCCCTTAAACACGCCGAATTGCACCTACTAATCGTGGCATAGTCTACGCATAGATAATATTCTACGTTCCACGACAACAAATTATAATTAAGGTACTCGAGTGTTCTGCGCGGTACTTGATACCGATCTCTTGTTACGTTCGCGATCTTGATTCCCGAAACATTAAATTAGGCGGTATCGCGAGCGTGAACACGAGGGTGGCGCATTATACGATTGCGTTACTCGGGTAATAAGTGTTGCCTAGCGTACATGGTGGCTAAGTAAATAGGCTGGAGCTCGGCCTATCAGCAGTTCCCCCGCTTGAAAATAAGAGACACTGGGATGGGGCAGAAATAGATAGATAGGGGGTTGCGCTGGTAAAGGGGCTGAAGAGGGGTAGAGGCGAAGGGATGAAGGGTAACTCGGTTTATTGTAGCCGAGACGGAAACTCTGGCGCAGCGCTCCGGTGTAATTTGTGAGAAGATAATAACCGTCGGCCATGGACGCAGGTATTGAGGCTGTTCTCTTTTTTATTCACACTATGTATTGCATTTAAAAAAGGCAATCTCCGAAATAATTTGCGCGGTATCGGATGGTCGGTTTTCGCCGCGCGTGGCCGCACGACGAACACGCTTCCCGGAAATAATGCGGAAGAGTAAGTGACGGAAGCGGACAGAAACCAGACAGAGTTAACCGCGTTGCTGCGAGCGAATCGGTTTACAACTAACTGTTTGTTATTTAATCGTTGTTAACTATGGTATCGCTCTTTATTCGGTATATTACAGATATCTATTAGCTTCCTACGTGACGATAGACGATAGATATACAAGATTTTGACTTCGACTTTTGCTTTTACTCGGTAATAATGACGCGTGGAAGTTGGATTATTTTATTTCTATTAACTGCTAACTATTAGTTAGAATA